TGCTGCCTTATTTGCCTCTCCTTAAGTTGCCAAACTTCATTCATAGAGTCTTTTTTCCTTTCATGTCTGTGGTGTGCGGCAGTTGTGCATTTAACATAAAAGTTTTCAACCGTAACATCTAGTTTTGGAAGATTTGGGAGGGTTACATCCTGGTATGCTTGACAACATTTGCAAGATGCTTTACAAACAAAAGGAGAGAAAAAGAGCAGGAATATATTTGAAAGACATTAAAGGAAGTATTTTATCTGTTTTCAGCTCATGGTGGTCACAGGTAGAGCTTGGTCCCCCAGATGCCATTCTTGGAATAACAGAAGCTTTCAAAAAAGATACAAACCCCAAGAAAATCAATCTTGGGGTTGGAGCTTATAGAGATGATTCAGGAAAACCTTATGTTCTGCCTTCAGTGAGAAAGGCAAGTATCAATCTTTTTACTCTTGAAGGTGAATTATATGTAATTTTACAGAAAAAAAAAACAGAGTTGTAAACCAGTCGTATGAAAATTGTTTTGATTGTTGTTTAAAATACTGTACTTAATGCAAGATTTGGTTCTTCAAACAGGCTGAAGAACTGCTGATAGCTAAAAAGCAAGACAAAGAGTATGGTCCCATCCATGGTTTACCAGAATTCACTGGAGCTGCTGCCAAACTAGCCTTTGGAGAAGATAGTGAAGTTATAAAAAATAGTTTGGTATGTATTGCATGCTGGAATAGATTTTGTTATATTTTAACAGTCTTTTTAGTTGGTATTTCTAGGAATATTACATTTACAGTCACAGTGATAATTATAACATGTCCTTAGTGTTGTCAATGTTTTTTTTTTTTTTTTTCATTTGTTTTTTAATCCATGTTTTGTTTTGTTTCACTAGAATGCATCTGCACAGGCAATCTCAGGTACTGGAGCTCTTAGGATTGGAACAGCTTTTCTGGTTAGTGAATTCAACTTCTTTTGTTTGACTTGCAAAATTAATGTTGTACAGTTGGTATTCAAAATGCATACGACTTGCCCGTTTGTATGTGCTTATATACATAAGAATTTGATTAATTTCAGAATTACTTCAGTTTGATCCATTGTGGATATGTTTCTTTTTTAGAAAAGCTTTTTCCCTGGAAGTAAGGATGTCTGGTTGCCTACACCATCTTGGGGAAACCACACTCCAATCTTGAAGTATGTACAAGAAACTTTGGACACAGCCAAAATGCAATTGTTGATCAAATCCAAATTATTTATATTAATTTTTCACTGTTAAGAGAAACATATTGTGATATCAAATTTTAAGAAAGAAAATTATGTTTGTAAAAGTTAATAAGTGATACAAGCACTCTTGGAAAATGTAATTTCAGTGTGCTGTTTACTGGTGTCAGTCTTGTGGCCTTTGATCAGTTAAGTGGATGTGCTATAAAAATTGTAATGCTTGTTCACGTTTTTATTGTCAGTGATAGTTGTTACAAAATTTTTCTTGGACATACTTCATATACATTAAATTTGTCTTCATAAGCTTTTTTTCATAATTCATCAAATATGATAGCAGCAAGTACTTTTATTTAAGAATGAACATAAAATAATGATACCAAGTTACATGAAAAACCTTTCATGCCAATGAAATCTTACCAATTGATTCATGATATTTGACAGAATTTATATTATATTTGTATGTATTTGTTTCATGGCACACTGTCACTAACACCAACATTTTTGTTGCTCTGATTTGCAGACATTCAGGACTGGGAGTAAAACAATATCGGTACTATGATCCACAAACTTGTGGTTTTGACTTCAAAGGCTGTATAGAGGATATTTCAGTGAGTTTAAGAATGATTGACTTTAATTTACAAAAGTTTTACTTGTGGTTCAGTTTTCCAATGGTTAGTGTTTTAATCACTAATTTCTGTTTTATAGAAAATTCCAGAAAATTCAGTGGTCATGTTACATGCATGTGCTCATAATCCAACAGGAGTGGATCCAAAGGTAATTAAAAAACCTAATTTTTTCAAACCTCCAGGGCTGTGATACGCTTGGAATGGTGTCTAGTCTTATTTAGTCACAATCATTTTTAAGTAGGCAGTCTTGATTTATCATTTCTGAACTATGATAGCTCAACAAAAGGGTTCATATACTGCTTTGCAGCATGAGAATTTTGCAGGGTTCAATTGCTCCAAAGTGTAGAGAAGGACCATGACTTGCAAAAGTAAGGTCACTGTAGTAAAAAATCCAACAAAATGAAGCACTGGAGTGTTTCAGTGGCAGATGCATTCATCATTTTCCAAATTAGGCAAGATATTCTACTATAGAATTCCCATCTGCATAACTTAGCAATGGCAAAAATGGCTCTTCTAGGTAACTAAACTGTAGATTTGGGGTTAATTCTGACTCACTTTTTTCAGGAAGAGGAATGGAAAGAGTTATCAGATGTCATAAAGGTATTTACTTTTCCACCTAATTTGACATGAAAAGGCAGATATGTATAAAGTTTTAAAATTTAAAGATTAGGTAAGTAAGATTTCTTCTTGATGTTATCTAGTAATGTTTTTTTTTATCTCTTCTCCAGAAAGGCAAACTATTTCCTTATTTTGACATGGCATACCAAGGTTTTGCCAGTGGAGACACTGACAAGGATGCATGGGCCCTGAGATACTTTATAAAGGAAGGACACAAAGTACTGGTAGCTCAGTCATTTGCCAAGAACATGGGTCTCTATGGTAGGCTTTTATAAGTCCCCTTTGCTTTTCCCTCACCTTGTCTTTTGATGATAAAAAATAGACCAGTAAAAAGAAGAGGCTTCACCTGCTGTTTCATGAAATTTTTGTATTTGCAAAGCAAGGCCAAAATCTATTTTTACCTGTTGTCTTGAAGGAAAAAAACAATGCAACATTTTCTGTTACTTCACTTTTTGCAATACTATTTCTATAACGTACCATAAATAAGTAATGGACAAGAGTTGAAACAAAAACCTCAATTCTTGAAAAAAAAAAAAGGATGGAAATTTGTCTAGTAATTTCCCCATCTTGGAAAAAGTATAGAAAATGAGTTGTTGAAATGTGTTGAGAAAATGGAAAGAGGTCTTTCATTGTCTGATTTCTGAACCTGACTGGTTGAAAAAGTGGCATAAGTTTTCTACACCAATTACCAGAGCATAGTAGAGCAATACCATTGCAGTCCTGGATTTCTTTTGACACTCAATTGTGAATGGCTGTAATGTTTTAAGTTTTATGTTTTTCCTTTTCCTTGTTGCCCTCCCCAAGGTGAGAGAGTAGGAATGATCACAGCCACTTGTGAATCGAAAGAGGAGGCAGAGCGAGTCCTGTCACAGATCAAGATCCTTATCCGCCCCCTTTACTCCAACCCTCCAATCCATGGGGCCCGCATAGCAGGTACTGTCCTCAGTGACCCTGAACTGAGACCACAATGGGAGGTGGAAGTCAAAGGAATGGCCGACAGAATAATTTCCATGAGACAACAACTTGTAGATAACTTGAAGAAAGAAGGTATGAAACTCTACTGTAAAACAGCTGGTCGGATGTAGATTATACCCATCAACCCACCAAATCACCCAACCCCCTTCCCCCCCCTTCTCCCTTCAATAGAGAATCTTTTCTGGAAGCAATTAATGGTAAATTGAGTATTGACTCATTTTAATTAGTAATTGAACATAGTTAAGTGGAAAATGTGCTATTCTCTTAATCATCTGTTCATGACTTAACCCTTCAACTTTCTGAAGTGTTGAACATGCAATAATACTCCTTATCCATACATTGCTCAGCAAAAAGGTCATGAAAATCATAAGTTGTTACCTTGATCTAACACCAAATTCTCACAAATGTTTTACAAGGAACTGTGTAGCAGCTAGAGGGGAGAATCAACAAATCAGATCTTGAGAGTCAGGGGGTTATAGCATTTACCAATGGTTCTTTATCTTAAATAATTTCCTGGTTAATATGAAAAAAAAATGCAATTACAGTATTAAATGATGATTATAACCACAAGTGATAAAATATAATGTTAAAATATCTCTCTTTTGTGCTGTTTCCTTTCCAGGTTCATCTCACAACTGGTCTCACATAACAGATCAGATTGGAATGTTTTGCTTCACAGGGCTTAAACCTGATCAGGTCTGTAAGCATACAATAATTAAAAAAACAAAACAAAACAAGAAAAGAAACAAAATTCCCACATCAAAACACTTCAGTTTTTGATGTCTTTGGTTAACATGGCAATGTGTAATGCAATTTTGACCCATGGCCTCAACTGATAAAATCTGTAAATTGTGTCTTCTTCAGGTTGAAAGACTCACAAAAGAATTTTCAATCTATTTGACCAAGGATGGACGTATTTCGATCGCTGGTGTGACATCCGGAAATGTGGGATACTTAGCTCAAGCAATGCATGAAGTAACAAAATGATGGACTCAAAATTCTAGTTACCTTTATTCTTTGTCTGACAATTATAAAAGTGCTGTCCAAGTTTCTACAGTATAATCAACATGGAAGTGTTTATCACCTTTGGGGAGGTTGAGGATTCTGTATGTGTCACAATGAAATTGACCTGATTTCCCCCCCCCCCCCCCCCCCCCCCCCCCCATAAGGCTCTGTCATATTCTTGTGACCCCTTCCCCTCCCTCATTGGAGGTTAACCCTTTATGCTCTGTTATATTGTGCTACAACTAATCCCTCTCCGTTCCTCCTCAAAAACTATTCAACCCCCCCTGAGAAAAATCCTTCAGCCCCCAGGCCATGAATAATGACTGGTTCCTCATAGCGCATCGCGAGCAGCTTACCCCAGTTGTGGACACCTTTTTGTCATTTTTAGGGTGTTTGGGTAAGAGAGCTGCCTGCGATTGAAGCTGGAGTATGTTCATCAAAACAATCTTTCTTGAAAGGTTTCGTTTGCAATTGAGTGTTTACAGTACTGCATCTCTGATGCTAGGGAAGGGAAGCCCAACTAGAGGGCAACAAAAATAAAATTTATGACTTGTAGCATGAACGGCTAGTTTTATTCTATTTTAGTTTATTATGCTATAGTTACCTAGTCTAAACCTGAAATAGATCTACAGCTTTCAGTATGAAGTAGGTTTTCAGAGAGAGATTGAAGAGTGGAGAGTGAGCTTAACCGCGAGGGTTCTCCTTAACAAAATACGTTTTTAGAAACGGCGCGATGATAAAGGAAAATTTCTTTTTAGTTTGTCAGGAAGAAGCAATGACCAAAAGGAGTATGGTAATAAATATGTATTTGCAATAAAATGGGGAGTCTGAAGTGATACCTTAACCTGAAAAGCTTGAAAATTGGGTAAAGCTGGTATATTTTGTTTACCCATTTCAGGTCAAATGCAATACACTAGGGAACTGTTTCCCATATTCATGTGCTTATGTACGTATAATTTACAAAATAGGAAGCTGGGAATTCCTTTGAGACCATAACACCATCAACATTCTTACAATTTTCATGGTTACTGGATTTTGAAATAATTTTTTTGAAATAATTTTTTTTTCGTGTAAACGGGCATTTGCAAGTATCACTAAGCATAGATTTCTAACAAAATTGGCATTTCTCGAAAAGATTCTGTTTCATGTCCTGTTGATCAGACAGGTACATTAATTTCAGTGGGATTTCAACATCGACTCCATGCTCTCTGATCTAAGTTATTCTTTGTTTGCTACAGTCGTTGTTCTGTATCCTTCTATATTTCAAAATCAAACTCTAGTCCACTTCCTTGTAATTTTGCCAGCACCTCCTTCTCAAATCTCTCGTTCAACTCCGGAGTAAAGTAATTTTTCCAGTCACCGACCACGCCCTTCCGAAGAATCGGCACATTTCGGCCATCCTTGAATGGAACTGTAAGAACTGAATCACGGTCTTTCTTCATTGCGCTGAAGCTGCTTTGCTCAGCGATGCGACTGATAATATCATCAGTCAGTGGCCTGTTGAGGAAGTCTGCGATTGACCGAACATGGGAGAGTAGATCCTAAAAGACAAGGGGATTTGCTCTTTTGTATACGAACTTGTTCCTAATTTGCACGATTAATGTTTGGTATTTAGCCAGCAGTAGGGCAAAACTCTCTCCCAGGGTCAAAGAGATTAAACAGCACTTATGCTTTGAAATATCAGTATCAATGTTATAACCAACCAAAACCCATGAATTATCAAATAATACGTAAAACCGGCGCTCCGAGAGGTCACCGTGAAGGTCTCTACCTTGGCGACTAAAGTAAAAAAAAATGGCGACTAAATTTGGAGTGTAAGTCAGCAATTTGGCGGCCTGTGTTCGGCAGTCATGCAACAATTTGAGACGTTCTAATAACTCATTTTCACAATCTAAAGTCAAAGTGAGGTAAGCATATTGGTGTTTTATTGTTCTGTTCTTTCTCGACGTTTCCAAAAACAATTCGTGCGGACAGCGGTTAAGTATGTCCTGTTGTATTGGGCAAAGTGTATTCTCTCATAATGGCGGTCATAGCCAGTTTGATTTACGGTCGCCAAATGGTGGGTTAACTGTCCTGTTGATAATGCCGAGGTTATTGCCTGTTGAAGTTACTTCGGGTGCAACATTTTTGTGTCGTTGGCAGATCGCCATCTTATTCTAGAAGGATATTAGATGAAATAATTCGCATATTTTTTAGAATTTCCAGGAACTGCTGTCGAGATTTATGGGGTAAAATTTGATTGGCTGGCGCTTATTGGTGGGAAAGAATAAACGTTGCACTCCGCGCCACTCGGGAGATTGACATGAACTGACACTTAACGTCAGTCTATTCTCGCCACCAGTCCACTGAATCAGATAGTGAGGATAACTGACATGTTGATCGGTTGTGGAATTGAGGGGTTTCTTAAGACTACAACAAACCTTTTTTAGATCTTCATATTTAACAAACAAGATGTTAGCATCATCTTTGTGCTTCCACCAGTCCAGAACATGGTCATTCCAGTGGTTCCAGGGGACTTAAAAAATAGAAACAACCAACTTCGTTGAGTAGAAAGACGTTTGTTCCTCTTAAACTGTTCCTCATTTGGTGGGGGTGGTTTTTAGATAAGAGGAGAGGATGTTTTGGGGGTGGAGAGGGGTGTGAGGAGGGGGCTTTTTGAAAGCTAACAGCTGTCGAATAAAATCAGAGAATAAAACAATCGGAAGATAGCAGAAATAAGGCTAAATGTATAATTTTTCTAACGTAAAGAACCTACCATTTCCTTCAACGAATAGTTTGGCAAAAAATTCCCACGGCCCACGCCGCGATGATGAAATGCCTGACCAGAAAAAATAATAAGATACCACAACGTCCTTTGGATTTCGAGCAACGTAAATGTATTTGCACACCGTGTCCTTGTTAGGTGATTTAGGGATCACATTGTAAGGTAGATGTGTCTTAAAAATCCTTGGACTTGGCAGGGCGCTGAGATCAGGCGTTGGGGAATTTGGTTGGTGTGAGTGTAGTGCTCTTTCCAGGAGGAAACCTCGTTTTTCTGACAGGTTGCCTTCGTTGTAAATTTGCGAGACAATTTCTGCAAGCCAATTTGTCCCTGAAAAAGTAAATAACATCAAAAGCTGTGTGTTAGTTATGATATGTAAGGTGTATCGGGCAAAACCAAGAGATAGTATTATGGCAAGATTTCAAAAAAGTGAAATATTGTTAAACCGACATAAATTGCAAGTTCCAGCGACCGTGGTTTTGACCTTTAAGTCCTTATTATGTTGCCTACTAGCCCAGCGATGGCGAAGATGGGTGGTGGGGATTTAGCCACCCACCTGTTTGCAAGGACAAATTTTTTTTTTTTGGTTTAGTATGAAGTACGTATGAAGAAGATAAGACAGAGGATGAGAAAGCGATAAAAAAAAGTTTGGTTCACTGCAGATTAATCCTCGAGATCACAACTTCAAAATTTTATAGGGGAGGTTGCCCCCCTCCCCACTTTTGTTTCAAAATTGGTTCACCCAGAGCCAGTGAGATTCTGTGGAGAGCAGAGCCATTACGAGATAGCCAGACTCCTGGGGTTCGCTCTGCTGATGGTTCGAAATTACAGTTAATCTGTAAAAGACATCTACAGGGAAACGATTTTCGTTCAAGTTGACGCGAAAATCTGATCGGAAAGGGTACTACACCCAATTTTTAGCGGAGTCATGACAAATCTGCCTCTGGAGCTCGCTTGTCACTGCGTGCTACTGCTAAGGGTATGTTTTTTTTAGCCATTTCAATTGCGGTTGAAGGATTTAACAGAAATAGATATAAGCAAGATTGATAACTACAAGAGAAAGAAATCAAAATGCTTTACTCGTTGTTGCCTTGTTTCTAATCCAATTCGCGCATGAGAGACTGTGACGGAGACTACTTAATATGCGGCGCAATGAAGGCGAACATGTATGATCTGGTTCCTAACGGTCACGCAAATAACGCGTAGCTCCTGTGGCGAAAATGGAATCGTCTCTCCATTGGCAGTATCGTTTGTTGATGAATAAAAAAGCCATTGTTTAAGAATTGGAAGAAAAATTAGTACCTTTTTAAATTGTATCTTGTACCTAGCACATAGAAAGACATGCAACGTGTATATATCTGCAATAGTGCAAGTACGCTGTAAATGATTGCGAAATATTTGTATCTAGTCATACTTTGTAGTCGAATCAAACTTTGCCATTCACTTTTTAGTACTTGGAGGTTTCTTTGTAATATAC